GACAAAGTACCATTTTCTTCTAACCTGAACATCTATTCTCCTTCAGGGCACAAGCTGTTATTTGTAATCAAGAAAAAATTTCTCCGTTTGTCTAATATTATGAAATCAGGCTCTCCTTCGGCAGTTTATGTCTCCCGAAACATCCTGGGATCTGTTTTTAATTCAGAAAATAATACGTAACATGTTCAACTACCTTGTCTTTCACTCAGTCCTGTCACGTCTCACACTCAGGCAAAGAAAGGGTCACAGCTCTTCTGCACTGTCTGGCTATATTTCATTCATGTGTTTAGGGAATGAAATAAATCTTGGGGTCAAGGTTCAAGGTCAGGAGACCATTTACTTCTTATCACCTAAGTAGCCAGGGACTTGGTGGGGAGATGGGGAGGGTGGGCACAGGGTGTTCAAAAAAGATAATCTCCTAGTAGAGGGTTTTGGAATTTAGGAGTCAGAGTCTTAAAAAAAAAAACAACAAAAAACTCCATGTATCTCCCTCCCTTAAATCAAGAGTTAGCAACCTATAGCCCATGGGCCAAATTCACACTTCCACTGTCTGATATTGCAGTCAAAGCTTCACTGGAACACAACTAGACTTATTTGTTTATATTTTAATCTGTGACTGCTTTTGCAATTGCAGACTTCAGTAGTTATGAGAGCGATCTTATGATCCATAAAGTCGAAAATATTCACAATCTGGTCAACCTCTGCCCTAGACAGTAACTGAGGATCAAGGCACAGTAAGCCATCATTACTAAATGATGTATCCTTTTTCTCAGGTATTTTTCCCAGTACTATCATAGCTAGGTTTCGCTTTGGCTGTCAATAATGAGATCTAAAAAAATAAGTGTCCGAAACAAGGTATTTCTCTCTTATCTAAGAGTCCAGGGCTGAAGTGACACAGAGTCAAGCCCCGGGCTATTTCTTTTATGTTGTTGCCCCACTCCAGACAGTCTCCAGTGCCCAGGCTGCACCATGGCCCAAAATGGCTGCCAGAATACCAGCCATCGGATACAACTAAGTATCAGGAAGAAAAAAGAATATCTTCAATTCAACTCTTAAAGAAACTTCTGGAAATACCATGAAATACTTCTACTTAAAAATCATTGACTGAACTTAGAAGTATAGAGTTCTGGTTGGGTGGAAAGTTGCTGAGCTAAAAAGTCAAGGTTATGTTATTACAGAAATGGCAGCGGGCGGAAGGATGGGGGGAATTGAATGTTGAGGGATAACTAGCAATCTCTGCCACAGGAACCTCACTCTAATCACCAAGCCCCTTATTAAGAGGGGCATATAACCGTGGTAGCCATGCCCTTTGGCATAGCTCCAAAAAATGGTCTTTAAATATCTGTACAACATCTATTTAAGATGTGTCGTATTAGTGCCAATGAGAAATGTTTTCAAATTTCTAGTCAAAAGTACTGTCTCCTTCAGAAGGAACTGGATACATTCATTTTTTAGCAGTCCGTATGGGGTTGTGCGTGTATATCTGCATTAACAGAGTATTTCTAATACAGTCCAGTGATTTTTTTTTTGAATGGACTGCCTGCCTGCCTGATCTGTCCCTGGGTCCACAGGATCCTGACACTACCCCACTCCCACTACAATCTCCCCAGTTAGCATGCCCATTCAGCATCCCCTTGATCACTGCCAAATTATGAGAAAGATTCAATGTTTACCCCCTCCGCAAGCGACATCTACTCCCCACATCCAGCACAACAGAAATTTATCTCAGCCTCCTAGGTTTTTGGCATCTCTCTGTAACCTTGTAGGTTCTGAAAATCTCCAATGAGAAAGGGTTACTCATTTCACTTTTGACACTGTCAAGGGTGAAGCTACGACCATATCAGAAAGCAAGAGACTATGAGGTCAAAGATCAAGTATGAATTCCAAATCCCTGATTCCAGAGTTTTCTGTAGCTTGAGCACCTCTAATCTGAAGATCCAAAATCCAAACTCCTCCAAACTCTGAAGCTTTCTGATTATTCAATACACACAAATTGTTCAATGCACAAAATGATTAAAAATATTGTATGAAATTACATAAAATTACCTTCAGGATACATGTATAGGTATATATGAAACAAATTCTGTGTTTAGACTTGGGTCCCATCCCCCAAGATGTCTCATTACATATATGCAAATATTCTAACATCTGAGAAGATCCAAACTCTGAAACACTCTGGCCCCAAGCATTTTTTGGATAAGGGATACCTGACTCAACTTGTACTAAAAAATGATGGGAAAAAATTATAAGTCACATGATTTTGGCATATCAATTGGTAGTCAGCAATCAGTCTTGTTCCAATATTTTTCTTCTCTTCAGATGTAAATAACTAGACTTCCAATATCAACATGGAAACTCCTGGAAATTTCTTTCTCACATAAAAGTCCAGGGCTGAATTGGCACTCTGTAGCATCAGGGATTCAGACTACCCCATACGTTTTATTTTCTGTAAAGTTAGGAGACAGCTATCATCTGCAGGCTCCAAAATATATTTAAAGGCTGCCAACAGCAGCTGAAATCAAAAGAAGCCAAATGAGAGGAAGTGAAGAGAAGAAACACAGAGTGGCACATCTCAGAAAACTCTAGCGAAAACATTTTTTTTTTTTAAAGAGCGAAGGGTTACAATCTGAAGTGTAAAGTCTCTATCTCCAAGTATTGATAACAGGGTAAGCAAAGGTAACTCTTCTATTTCTAACAAGTGTGGATTTAGGGTGGGAGGAAGACCGATACAAAAAATCAGAGATGAGTCATGTTCAAAGAAAGAGTTGGCAGTGGAGAGAAAGAAAGCCTTAAGGGTGTGAAAAGAAGCTAGGCTAAATGTCTACCCCAGCCCCTTCCTGCTATGCCAAGACCCAGTCTCCCCACAAATCATGTGCAAATAGCTGGTCCAGAAAACCTGGTGTATTCAAATATGAGTGGCAAAAAGGCGATCATATGCATACCACTGACAGATCAATTAAAAAAGAATTGAGAGAAAAAAAGAAGAAAAGGGCAGAGAAACAGAAAAGTCATAGAAAAACGCTGCCATGGGAGCATATGAAATTTCTGGCTAAGTAGTTTACAATGAACTTTTAAAATGTAGTGAAGCAATTTCTCCAGGAAGGAAGACCAGAAAGTAGAAATTACTCAGAGAAGAGATGGCAAGAAAACAGAAGGAGCTGAAATGTGAGCTTGCAAAACTCAGAACAGGGAGAAAGGCGAAGTAACTGCAGATGGAAGGTGCACAGGGAGAAAAGACAGCAGAAAACACGGTGAGGGACAGAGAAGATAACAATGGGAAAGCGCGCGGAATGGAGCGGAAGAATGGATTTTAAAACATTAGAAAGAAAATAATAGGTACAGAATTCAGATAAAGGAGAGTCAACTTATGCATAACTGGATCCCTGAAGACTGAAATAGAACAGAACAATGGATCAGAACAAATCCCTAAAGATCAACTTCAAGAAAACATTCCTAAGATAAGGAAGAGTCCAGTCCAATCTGTGAAGCGCAGTGATATATACTAGGGAGAAAAGATCAATACTGAGGTGGGACCTGATAAAGGAATTAAACTTGAAAGATAACAAAGGAATCCTTTAAAGGATTCCTTTTTTGCTTTTTAGCAAAAAGATCAAGTATGGTGTCAGATTTCTTTATAGGAAATTAAACTTGAGAAAACAATTGAGCAGCACGTACTAGAGCCTCCCTAAAAGAAAGACCAAGCCGAGATTTTACTCCCAACCAAACTGTCATTCAAGTATAAACAGATAAACAGTTTTGAACATGCAAGATCTCAGGGACTATTGCTTCCACAAGTTGTTGAGCAAAATTCTAGATGATGAACTTTAGTTATCCAGACGACTGGTGAAAGCGAAGCAAAAGAACTGGCAGTGAACACTGAACACCTTTATCTAGAGAATGAACGCTTTAAAAGACAAAGAAGGAAACAGGTGGGAGTCTGAATGACAGGATGGAACGTGGGAGCCACGAGCCCGGACAATGTAGGTGTGACATACCTGAAACAATTAGGAGGGGAAGGGAAAATGGAGGTGTGAGTTAGACATGATTTGGTGACTGTTTCTTCTCTAACAGCTAGGAGCCAAAGGAGACCATTTAAAGATGACCAATCAGAAATACAAATCAAATCACATCACTTAATCTCTCTGCTTCTATCCTTCTATGGTTTTTTCACTCCAATTAGGGTAAAATTCAAAGTCTCAGACCTTGCAGGTTTTGGCCCCACCTGGCCCTGGAAACACACCACTACCCAACAATTATCAGCCTACACGGCCTCCCCCTAGTTCCTTGAGCTGCTGTGTTCTTGGCTGCCTTCTGCGTCTCACGTGCCCTCCTCCCCCCAGGACGGTCATGTGCTAGCTGGAATGTTCCTTCTTTCTTCATGGCACATCATCCTTCTACTCTCAGCTTCATATCTCAAAGAGGCCTGCCCTGACTCCCCACATGAAATTAGTTTTTGATGACACCCAATGCATTTTTCTCACACAATAGCACACTTTCATAATGATGTATTTAATGTCCGCCACTCTCACAAGACTGTAAGCTCCAAGAAGGCAAAGGTAAGACTGTCTGGAACACATTTAATTCCTAGGACGTAATATAGATCTTGGTGTGTGGTAAGTGCTTAATAAATATTTGCTAAGACCCTATCAAAACAGCTTCTACTACACAAACTGTTCTTTCTGACTCATTTCCTCTGTACCTGGAACATGCTAAGGTAAGAAGTCACTTCCAAAAACAATACCGAAAAGGTGCAGGACTTAAAACATTCTGTTTCATACTTTTTCTTTACTAAGGTGGGAAAGATGGAAAATGCATCTTGGAAAGATTTTCAGAGAGGACCGATATCAAAGAGTTTTCTGATAAGCTATACATTCACTCCAAATTCAGAAGACATTTTGTCTCAGGTACATTGGGTTTCAGCAAAATTTTATGATATGCTTCCATATGACATTTATCACATAGAGACAGTAAAGGGTAAAATGAGAAAGCTTTTCACTTACTTTGGATGTTCAAACTTGTCTATGAGATCAACCTTTTCCACCAGGTCTCCTCCAATTGTTCGGACTAAGTCATAGAAATCATTCTCTGCGTAAGTCTCAGAGGGCAACCAGAATGAAATATCGTTTATCAGGGCAGGATATTTGCTAAGAGGCTAATAAAACAAGAGGAGAAAAGATATTGTTAGTTGAATGAGAATATTTAAATTTTTCATTAAAAGTTTCACTTGGCTAATTAGGAAATGCTGGTAAAACATTATTTCAGCATTTAAATTTGCAGAACAAAATGAACCTAAAAGAGAAATTAATATTCAAAATTAGCAAATTCCATTATGAATATTGTAGATTCTTATCACATTCATGTGTAACGTTACCATATATTATATTTATATTGCCATTAATGTTCAACTTGGTACAAAGCAATTTGAATATATCATATTTCAGTTTTTCCCATTTGAATATTAGAGGAGAAAAGTTCAAATTTAATTAACATGCAATTCGTTAACTTCTTGTGATACTTTCAGAAAGCCATTTTAGTGGAAATATAAGAGCTTATCAAAATTGATATTTCAATTAGTAACGTCATTATTTGTTAGTATTTCTAATTATTAAAATAAAGGATTGGGTTAATAAGCAGTCACTTGGGGAATCACTTTTCAAATTATGCCTTTAAGGATGTGATAAACATAAATGTAGCCATTTCCCCCACTTTATTCTATTTTTTCCAGCTTATTAGCTCAGCAGTTCACCATTATATAAGACAGACATTTAAAATTAGATATGTTTAGAATTTACCATGTTTATTGCTTTCACACACAAACACACATACATACATACACACATATCATAACTACATATATAATTCTAACATACATACATCACAATTATACATAGATATGTGTGTATGTATGTATGTTTTGGTCTAAAAGTTACTGCTGCAATAAAAAAAGTTTCATTATGTAACTGTGAAATCCTAAGGGAATTCACAAAGCCAAACCTTTTTTTTAAAAGGGCAAATTTACAAACTGATGTATGCCAAGCCTGACATCACTATAAACTCTTTGGTGAATCATTGATCAGAGAAAGTATAAAACTTTTAAACAGCAAAATCTCTGAAGAACTAAATGCTCAAACACGAATGATTATTCAACTTGAAATATCAATAAAGTTTTCAAAACAAATGCATCAGTTTGGAACACACATTTCATACAAACACAATAAAGTTACCATCTAGGTTCTATTGACAAAATATGTTGGCTCCTGAGAAGCATTCTGTTTTCTCTCATGCTGTGATAAATGACCCAGGGGTTAATGTAACAATAGATGATAGGAGTTTGGTGGTTACACAGGTTACTTTTCCTTTGGACAATACCATTTTGTCCTTTACGGAAAATGGAATTTTAGGGAGAGAAGAGACTGGGATTGCCAAGAATTAGCAAGAAATCTCCTCTTCAATTAATGCAAGCTGAGTCAACAGACTTACTGAGTTCTGATGCAAGGCATGGTGACAGAGAAATGGAAGAAGGTGCCCCAATAAAACGTGTCAGCAATTCATGGACGACAGTCCATATGATAGTAATGCTGTCAGCCAGAACACATCCTCCAAGACATTATTGAAATACACATTATGGTAAAGACAGTTTAAAATCCATTCAGTTTAAAAGAAAAACCTAGACAACTTATTGTAGTACGAGCCTATTTCAAGCTAACAAATATAATAAGTTTAATGATTTAACTAAAAAGAAAGGATTTAATCCACTAATAGGTAGGTATCAGACATGGGATATCTACTACTGGCCTTTGCTTTTTTCAACAGAGAAATATAATTTTGTTTGAGGAATGAGAGGCTAACTACAGATCACGGTTACTGAGATGTAGAGTTTCCATCAAGTGTTTAACTAGCAGTGGTGGTAAAAGCCATCTGGTGGCTCCCCAATGCCCCAGGAGAAAGCCTCCAACTTCTAAAAGCTTTTACCTCTTTCCCACGTTCTCTAGGCTTAGGCCAGCCCAGCTTACTGGGTTTCTTAAACACACTAAGCAGCTTCCTCCACATACCACTTCCCACCCTCCCTACCCCACTTCTGGCCCTCAGCCACCCTGTTCACTTGTGATCCTCACAGACTCTGCCAATCCCGTTACTGCACCCTATCCTTCTCTTGCACAACACTTTCCATCCTCACTGTCTGTGTAATTACTTACGTCATGGCTGTCTTCCCGAGAGGCTGCCATTTTTGAGGGTGGGGTGTGCCTTTATTGTGCACAGTCCCTGTTACATGTTAGATGTTTTAGCGGCTTGAGGAGCGCCTTACAGAGCTGCCGGGTGTGTGCAATGACTAGATTACATCAGTGCATTCAGCAGTGATTTCTCCTCTAACTGCATGAGCTAATGAACACACCAGGTGTCGGAGACGCAGAGCCTTGCCTCCATCCCTGGATTGTCCTGCAGTTTAGCAACCATGTGAAATGGCAAAGAGGCTGAAGCTGGACAGGCAAAGCCACCTGGTAGGAACTTGATAACCCACAATCATAGAATCATGGAATTTTAGAATCCAAAGGGACCTTCAATTACATACAATATTTGTGTTTTCTTCTTTCTTTTCTTAACAGAAGGATGACTATTTTACTAGTTTTATCAGACGACTGCATATAGTTGTACCTCATTATCTGAAGGGGATTGGTTCCAGGGTCCCCAAAGCTACCAAAATCCTCAGTCCCTTAAATAAAATGGTGTAGTACTTGCATACGACCTATGCACATCCTCTTGTATACTGTAAATTATCTCTAGATTACTCATAATACCTAATACAATGTAAACATTATATTTTAAATTTTTTACTATTTTTTACTGTTGTATTTTTAAATTGTTTTCCCCCAAATATTTTTTATCTACAATTGGCAGAATCCACAGATGTGAAACCTCCATATACAGAGAGCTGACTGCATTGATGTGTTCTTTTGTTGATCTTTATAATTCTTTTTTTTTTTTTTTTTTTAAGAATTGAAAAGGGCATCAAAACTACAGATACAAGACACATTTGTCAGCTTGCTCCTTTCTGCCCATGGATGCCACCGAAAAAGCATCGTTAAAGTCTCTCATCTGCCTGCCCTCATGTCTAAGTCAGAGTCTCCTAAAGAACCCAAATAGCTGAGGAAGAGCTTCATTGGAGAGCCGAGCTTTCAAACAATCGATGAGAGCCTGAGGAGCCATTTTAAGCAATGGGGGACGCTCCCGGACTGTGTGGTCATGAGAGATCCAAACACCAGGCGCTCCAGGGGCTTTGGGTCTGTCGCTATGCTGCTGTGGAGGAGGTGGATCAGCCATGGACTCAGGGCCTCACAAGGTGAATGGAAGAGTTATGGAACCAAAAAGCTGTCTCAAGAGAAGATTCTCAAAGATCAGGTACCCACGTAACTATGAAAAAGATATTTGTCAGTGGCATTAAAGAAGACACTGAAGAACAACACCTAAGAGATTATTTTGAACAGTATGGAAAAACAGAAGCGACTAAAATCTTGACAGGTGGAAGCAGTGGCAAGAAAAGGGGCTTTGCCTTTGTAACCTTTGACGACCATGATTCCGTGGTTCTGGAAACTTTGGTGGTGGTCGTGATTTCTGTGGGAATGACAACTTTGGTCATGAAGGAAACGTTAGTGGTCATGGTGGCTTTGTTGGCAGCTGTGGTAGCAGATATGCTGGCCGTGGGGATGGTGATAATGGATTTGGTAATGATGGAAGTAATTTTGGAGGTAGTAGAAGCTACAGTGATTTTGGCAATTACAATAATCAGTCTTCAAATTCTGGACCCATGAAGGGAGGAAATGTTGGAGGCAGAAGCTCTGGCCCCTGCGGTGGTGGAGGCCAATACTTTGCCAAGCCATGAAACCAAGGTGGCTAGAGCAGTTGGTCCCAGTAGCAGCAGAAGCTATGGCAGTGGCAGAAGATTTTAATTAGGAAACAAAGCTTAGCAGGAGAGGAGAGCCAGAGAAGTGACAGGGAAGCTACAGGTTACAACAGATTTGTGAACTCAGCCAAGCACAGTGGCAGCAGAGCCTAGTGCTACGAAGAAGACATATTTTAGACAAATACTCATGTGTATGGGCAAAAAAACTCAAGGACCGGATTTGTGACTAACTGCATAACAGGTTATTTTAGTTTCTGTTCTGTGGAAAGTATAAAGCATTCCAACAAAGAGTTTTAATGTACATTTTTTTTTGTACTCATGCTATTGATTGCTAAACGTAATAGTCTGATCATAATGCTGAATAAATGTCTTATTCTTTAAATGTGTTGTGTAAAGTTTGTCTACTCTGAAGCCATCTTGGTAAATCTCCTCCAACGGTGTGAAGTTAGAATTCCTTCAGGGTCATGCCAGGTTCTATTTGGAGTTTATATACAACCTGCTTGGGTGGAGAAGCCATTGTCTTCAGAAACCTTGGTGTAGTTGAACTGATAGTTATTGTTGTGACCTGAAGTTTGCCACTAAAAATTACCCAAGCAAAATCATGGAATTATTGGTTATAAAGATGATTGTTGGCACATCCTATGCAATATATCTAAACTGAATAAAAGTATCGGATAAAATTATAGATGGGAATGAAGCTTGTGTATCGTCCATTATCATGTGTAATCATAGAAATGATTTAATTCTCAAAAAACAAACAAACAAACAAACAAACACCCCACTACAGATACAGTAGAGACTTTAAAAGTCATGGGTGAACATTTTAAACCATTTATTACAAGGAACTTGGAAACTTTGATCAAATGGATATTTCACTCAAAACAGAGAAACTAATCTGATGACTAGGTACCAACTATTTCAAACTGAAATATCAGGAAAATCTCCCTTCAACAGAAACTTAGACTATCGGCTCACAGTACAACTTATCAAATGTTTATGGTAAAGGTAGTTCCTTTTGTATGTAAACTATTTCACGAAGGAAGGAAGCCTCATAATCTTATGAGGCTACTCTAAACTTAAAGTTAAAATTGGACAATTAGAGAACAATTCACAAATTTTTTGACTGATTTCACTTATAACCTACATTTAAAAACCTAAATGTAACTTTAGCAAACATTCCAGAATTATGAGAAGGATCTGAAACCAAAAATAATCTAATAATCAACATATTAAGAAAAAAATCCCTGCGACTA